CACTGGCCTCCCAAGTAGGCTTCTCAGCCCAGACAGCTGCACCTAGACAGCCCTTGTGCCTCCTCTCTGAATCCTGGCTTCTTCGAGGCAAAGCGCTGGTGTCTTCTCCCAGCAAGGCCGCTGCTGACCCTGCCACTTTCCACAGGTTCTCCCTCTTCTATTTATTTTGCCTAAATTGTTTCTACACCCATGGAAGCTCTCCCAATACAAGGGAAGCTCGCTAGGCCAAGGACTGTTTGTTTTGGTTTGCTCTGGATGCCCAGTTCAACGCAGGCCCTTCCTTCTGCCCTGTACAGGCTTCCTAAATCTGCTGAAATGGTCAAACTCCTGGGCCACATCAGCCTTTACACTCCAGTATTCCTGGAGGAGGTGATTAATCATGGAAGATTACCTACCTTAGGTGCTTAACAAACAGGATGGCTAAATGCTAAACAAAAATGAGATGGTAATGAAGATGAGGAACAAAGGTGAATCCAGGTGTGGCCACTTAGCCTAATGAAGAGTCTGGCCACCCACTGCACAGATTACATGTAGTCCTTCCAGTCTAAGTGCACAAAATGTCCATTGAGAACCTCTTTCTATTTCACAAAAGAGGCATAATGCTTTGATGGACAACAGAATCGGATCTGTCACTAGAACAGAAAAGGAGAACCACGGGAACACCTTCTCCGCCAGGCAGAAAACGGATGAAAAGCAAACAAGGACAGTTACAACAAAAGCTTCAGAATAGTCTCATTTATCAAGCTGATCGTCCTAGAGCTTCTCTCTCCTTTCCCGTCATTCAAGCTTTAATTTACAGCCGATAATGGGAAGGCCCAGCCGAAATCCAATGAGGGTCAAGTCTCAGCCTGAGCTGTCTGCAGTCCCTATGGTCATGCAGATTGACTCTCCTCCCATAACACACTCAAGACCACTCCATGAGTTCGACCCTCTTTATTGACCGAAGGCCAAAATATTCTATTAGGAAAAATATCCATTTTAAGCCACTGACCAAGGAGAGCATAAAGATAAATATTTATTCAGTGTTAGGCCACAGGTAGGACCCATTCCATCCATTTTCCATATTCATCTTTAAAAGTAATTTATTATTTAAAAAAAACTAGACATCAGTTAGAGCTGCTTCAAGAGGGAGGCTCAAACATCACGTCACACAGGGATCCCTCCAAGCTACAGTCTAAGTCAGACACACCATGAAAAACATCAGCAGCCACTTGCCCTGAAGAACCGGTCAGAATGCTCTCTGCATTTCCACAGCTGAAATTCCACCAAGAAAATGACACTGCTGTCTAAAATGACTCCCCACAACCTTGTTAGCTCAGTGGGATACTTCTTGCTTTTCCATTCCACAACCATGTTAGTGCTAATCAAAGAGATTCCGACACTGTCACACTAGAAAGTCAAGCTGATCAGGATTGTCTCACATGTCATTCCTTTTCCAGCAAAACACTACAAGAAAGCACAGACCAAAGGGGCTGGAAGAGATTGCCAAGATCCTCCCAGCTGCCACTAGACCCAGGAAGCTTCGCCGTGATGTCCTAGGCAGGTTCATGTCTGTCTGAGCAGCGCCAGGACAGGCAGCTCACTACCTCACAAAGGCCCTAAGCTCTGCCTCCTAGTAACTCCCACCCACTGGCACTAGCTGAGGCAGCTCTCTGGAGCTCCCACCCCCTTCATAAGAGATACGGCATATTCTCAACAAGCTCTCTTCTCCAGAGGAGGCAGCTCAGCTCTTCCGGCTATGAATCACAGACCACCGCACGCCGTCGAGCACTTCTCCAGCGGGAACACCTTCTTCACTCGTCGAGGAGAGACCTGCACGATGATGATCTGATTCTGTGTGTTCTGGGCAGAACCCAGTGACACTGTCACCTACGTGATCCTCAGTGGCCCAAGGCAGTAGCTGAGGCTGCCCCACTGCAGAGCTGACTGGCTTTCCTGTGAACTTCGAAATACCAAATTTATAAAACCCAGCTCTTCAAACAATAAACAACGCAGTCGCTTGTCTCGGGGTGTCTGACTTCACCTTTCCTGCTCACTGCCATTGCCCTACAGGAATCGGGGAGATGACAGCTCCTGCTCATAGCCGTCAGCTCCGGAGAGCAGAGGCTGCTTCCTGCACTCTGTCTCTAGTCCCAGCCCCCAACGTGGGGTCAGAACCACGGCAAGCCCAAGCCCTCGAGGAGCCCTTGTGGACTGACTAATTGGCTGCTTAGCCTACCTTCTGGAAAGCACCAGGAGCCTTGTTCTGGTGCCATGGGCCCGATGACATCAGGCTCACTCTTCCCTCTTCATCTAAACGTCCTCTGCCATTCTCCTACTTTCCCCAGTGACAGATTTCCAGGTCAGGTGCATACCATCTCAAGATACAAGGCTCCCCCCTCATGCCTTCTATTAAAGGAGGATCTTAGCGTGAGAGATGGCAGGAAGATCACATGGTATCTGGGCCCATCACCCCTGCCCCTTTTGGGAGAAGAGACTAAGAGTTAGGGATGCTGCCCACAGTTAGAGCCTGCACAGAGCCAGATTATTGAACCCTCCATCTCTTCTGAGGAGAAGGAAGGTCAGGGCTGGAAGGGGCCTTAGAACAGGGGATGTCAGGACTGGAAGGAGAATTAGAACAAGGGACGTCAGAGCAGAGAGGGGCCTTTCCATTTCCACATTCCAGCATGAGAACCATTCCACCAAGTTTCAGTGACAGCTATGGCATCATAGTCATTTTTTGTGTGAAAACTGCAGTTTCTTTTTATTAACCACACTCTGTGCATTGGTATGTTGACATCGCAAGCCATCAAAGTGGTTCCAAGCTTCCTTCCCAGTTATTTTCTCCAGCGACTACTAGGAACGCAGTCTTCTGCGTTCTTCCCATTTCCTTGCGCCCAGTCTGGATCAAGGTATTTCTCTGGCTCCCCATCAAGGCTCAGGATGAAGCCCTCTTGGTGTGGTTCCCAACACATCATTCCGTGTCCCAGTGAAATGTCTTCTGCCTCTTGCCCACATTCTACTGCCTGAAGCCCTAGTCCACAAGACTGGATTCTCTTCAGTGACACCACCTATTGTCTCACACTTATTCCACCTTCCATTTTCTCCTAAATTCTCCTCGTCTCAGTCATTGCCAGTAAGACCAGAGAAAACGTTGTCCCACAATGGGGCCTCCAAAGCTTCCCAAGGTTCCCAGGCACCAGAGGCTCCCATCTGGGCCATCGGCCTGCTCTCTGCTGGTCTGATGAGCCTTGGGGAGGGGCAGTCCATCTTCAACATCTACTCCCCTTTCCTATTCACCATGACAGGTCTACAGAGTGCAACATCTGGAATCCCTCAGTGGGTGTCACCAACTATGACTACTGAGCTCTTCTTCCTGCAGCTGGTAAAAGGATTTTCCAAACCCTAAATTAATTTGAATCTTTTGCTGAATGACACTTTTGGGATCAAATGAGAAAATATAATAGAATGAGTTAAAAATGAACCAAACCAAGGACTGATTCAAGTATACACTTCCTTGGAGGCAATCCATAATCAGTCTAATTTCCTGCTCTTTGTAAGTCTGCTGTCCAGCAGAATGAAAACTGAGATCCCGAGAGAGGCCAAAGGAAGACACTACAAGGACTTTTCCTGGAGCTTAGTTTGGGTTTCTCTCTCCTACTGAGGCAGAAGTGAGTCCATGACACACCCAGGGTCACCCTAGTGAAGAGTTAAGCTGGCTCTCTAGTCCAAGTCTTCTGAGTCCAACGCCTCCCGGCTGCCTCGACTATGCCACAGATGCCTCAGTCCTCAATGCCTTGAAAATTCAATTATCCAAAATACCACCTTCCTCCTGCATTCTGAATAGCTGAAGATGACTGGAAAGAGATCCAGAATGAAATTATGTAAAGCAAGAAAATGAAGTTAGCAAAGCATAAGAAGACAAACAAGTCCTATCCTAGTCACTTTGGACAAATGAGAAAACTGAACAGCGTAATGAAAGATAGAATTAACTTTAATAGCTATCATTCACATATGAGAACATGTGGCTCTGCTGTATTCTTGAAAACCAAGGTCAAGATCAGAAAGCCATCCAACCTAAATCAGTCAACTAGTAGAGAGAATAATGGGTTTTATGCAGATTTTACGAAATGCTATCTATATAGGTTTCCCTTGGTTTTGAATAATGCAATCCTCACACAGAGGGGACAAGAAGTCCGTCTTGTAGAACGTACATTTTAGCATCCCGATTTCCTTCTTCCTCTGGACAATTAGTAACACAGTCGTGTTCTTCTGGCCCCATCCGCTGTTATCCTGGCAATGCATTAACGACCACTTGGGTCTTGCAATGTAAGTTGGTGGTAAAGTAGTTAAGACCAACTTATTTACCACATTAATTAAATGGTCTATTTAACATGGAATATCAATTCTCTAATCACATCTCAGTTGAATTTCTTATTTCAATTAACAACTCCAAAGTCTACCAGCAGAGATCCTACTGTTCTAGGATCATTAAGAACATTTTCATTATCTGTCAAATGAGGGAGCGAGATGCAGACATCGCCAGCACTCTCAGGAGTAGCCTCTACCCTACTTAAGAGATGATTAGGGAGAAAGCAGCGGCGGCTCTCATTAGCTGCCTAGCAACGAAAAGCCCTCCTCCCGAGTGGAAACAAAGTGAGAGGTGGTGCAGGGAAGAGGATTTCAGCCACTCAAGGGTAATCTGTCCTCTATCAAATGTAATCAATCTAGCCTATGACAAGAATGACAATTGGACGCCACGCAGAAATTAAACTGGTAAAGCACACGGCAGCAAAAATGAAACCTGAATCCCCCACACCCGGAGAGGCATTTCCACGGAACAGCATCAGCGAGAGGTGGTGGCTGGGGTGGATCAATACCAGTTTTAAATTTAAATGTTAGAGTTCCAGACTTTGATGCTGAGGCCTGCGTGTCCCTCCATAGCCTCCTCCTCCTCTCAGCACAGAATACGGCTAAGCAAAAGCCTGCATCCAAGCAGGGGCGTGACAAGACAAGCTTACCTATGTGTTCACAAATGAAGACCACGAAGAAGGGGGTGACGAGGTCGTTGATTCCCTGAACATAGCCACTGGCAGGGTGACGGATGGCCCAGATAAACAAGATTCTTTCAAAAATCTGAAACAGAATAAACATACCAAGAGGGGAAATGAGGAATGCATACAAGTGGACCCTAGAAATGAATCCAACTCAACAGTATATCGATGCTAATTCTAATTAATTTGATGCAGATATACAGATGTGAGTAATTATCTATTGCTCCTTAATCAAGCACATAAAATTCCCAGCCTTTCCTTTTGTCCCCAACAGAGGCTCCTGACTACAAGGTCTGTTGGGAGCTTCTGCCATGTTTGGGGGCAGCTGAAGGGCTGTGGACAAAGCCCAGATTTTGAGTCAAAAGACCAGGAACAGAGCGAGTCCTCTGGCCAAAGCTGGCCTTTACTCAGGTTTGTTTACCTACAATGCCTCATTTTCCCATTTGATTTAAAAAAAAAAAAGGATTAAAAACCTTGGCCTGCCCATGTGTGCCACCTGGCCATTAGGAGACTCCCACAGAGCATATACAAGAAGCCCACGGCACACTGTGGCATCCTACGTGAGTGTAAACCATCTGCACTGTTGTTACCATGATGGGCTACTGGCCAGTCTCCTGGGGACAACACTCCCACCACTCACAGGCCACACGGTGGGGCCTCTCCTGCTGCTTCTGTGCCAATGGCCAGCAAGAACGGCCCTGCTGGCAGACAAGTCCGCCCCAGGGACAGGCAGGAAAGCCATTCTTTCTACTTCAGTCTTGGCCAACCACAAGGTCAATCAAATGTTCAGGAGTTACAAGCACTTGAATCAGCTCCAGAACTTACCCATTTTTCAGCCCTGATTAGGCTGGGAGCTTAACCAAAGTAATATTGAGGGCATGATCCAGGAAATCAAAGTCTTACCTAAACACACACCCACACAATACTCCCCTACCCATTTCTTCACTGGAGAACCAACATCCCTAAAGGATCCAAGTGCAACTAAAGAAGAAACAAAAGGGCGGCAGTGTGCTTTGTAAACGGCCGCCCGAGTCCTCTGAAGCGTCGCCAACGTCACAACCACACGATTCCGTCTGGCCCCAAATGGCCCACGTTCTATGACGACACAGGCTTCCTACACCACACAGATTTAGGTGCACGCACACCTACAGGACGATCAGGGCATGCAAACAATGTTCATTTTAAACATCTCCTTCAGACAAGCACTTCCAGGGAAGAAATGCCAACCACAACACTGTCGTACCACACAGCACTCCTGGATGCTTCCCTCCCGACGGCCAGTCCGAGAGGACCGCCCCCCTGCTCTGACAAGCAATCCGAGGCTCAGGGAAAATAAAGGGCTTGCTGGTGCTCACCCAGCGCCTCAGTCCCAGAGTCAAGGCCGGAGCCCAGGTCCCCTCTCACCCTGTCGCCAGCTGACTCAAAGGCTGGAAGGGGCCAACGAGAGGGCCCCGACGAAGCCTCAACGACCATGACAGTGAGTCAGCACTTCAGAGGCCAGCAAGATGTACTGTGACACCCTCATTTACAGAGGACAAAACCTGCTCCTGAGGGGCTGAGGGGCTCAGTCAGCAGGAAGAGGACAAGCAAAACCAGGACAAGTACCCAAAACTTCTGTCTCCTAAGTTTCTATCTCACAAGGCGGAAAACGAGTGTCTGCTAACCAGGCCCTCGGAAACTCCATCCCAAGCATGAAAGCAAGCGGGCAAGTCAAGAGTCCTGGCAACGGAGGCGGGAAAAGGGGATGCTGCATCGGGGCGATGGCAGAACCTGCGGAGGGGAGGCAGGTGGAAGGAGGTGACCGTGGCAGGAAGGAGTCAAGTCACGAGGAGCTTCCAGAGCCTGATCCCAGAGAGGTCGGGTAGGAGGGGAGTGACACAGTCAGACCGACAGGCTGGCAGCTGCACGGTGACAGGTAAGAGGACACGGACGGGAGGTGTTACACGCACAAAAGTGACAAGACACAAGAAAGGACTGGTTATGTGGGGTGGCTGTGAGTGAGGGAGAAAACAGCTAGCATTTTTATAGGGCCCGCTACATGCCAGACGCCCCAGGAGGGCAAAAGAAAGTACGGCCTCATCACCTCCAGCCTAACAAGCATCTGGCTCTTTCCAGACGTTTCAGGTTGTCAGGGCCAGCACCCACAGTACCCACAGACTCTCCCTCAAGAAGCCCTAGACGCTCCTGAATCAAGACTCTGCTCGTTCAGAACCTGGGACCATCTGAAGCAGAGAGTTTAGTGAGACAGCAACAGAAAGGGCCTTGGGTGATGAGCAGATCAAGCTCTTCCCCTCTGAGGAGTGGAAGTGTCCCGGCCACGAGCAACAGTGAAAGTGCTGGGGACCCCGGGCTCTCTCCAGAAGTTCTCACGCTGTTGAAAGCCTCTCAGACGCACTCTCCCCTAGCGAAGTCTGCCCTGACTTAGCCCCCAACAAACCAAAAGAATGAAAAACCCCCTTCCTTCTCAAGTTTCTCATGGCCCTCTCCTTCCCACCATGTCACAGTCAGGTTCACATTCATGCCAGCCCCACAGAAATTACAAATCCATTTTTAAAATGGCGGCAGGAACCAGGTCATTTTTTCACATGTACAGAATCAGGGCTCAAGAACAGGAAGGTCCCACTAAGACTCTGCAGAATGAAATGGAAGGAGAATGGAAGACTGTTGCTGAGACTCAAGACTTGGCTAGAGAAGAGACCAAAAGGATGACCGTGGGTCCCCCGGGATGCCTGTGAGCCCCGTTCCACTGGCCATCCCTATGATTCTCTAACTCTGGCCTGGTCAATGACTGAGTCAAGTCTCCAACCCAAGCTTCCATTGCAAAGAAGGAAGGCACAAGAAAGAACCATTTGAGTGACTAAGGGAGTTCCCACTCCAACAATTCAAAGGGCATCAGGTCCCCCCACTGATACGGAGCCCAGGCCTCCCACACTTTGGGAGCTGCAAACATGGCTGCAAACCAAACCACCTGCCCATCCCCCGGGGCTGACCTGGGCCAGTCCTCAGCATCAGAAAGCCTTCTGCAGACCCTGCTCAGTCTCTCCAGTGGGTAGGAGACACCCAAGGTGTGCTTGTGCTCCAGTGGCAGCCTCTCCCAATGAGTAACTAACTGTGTGGACTGCCAACCTGTATGCCCAATAGTGAAATGTTAATTACACACTCTTCTTATCTATAGGAGCAGCTAGGTGCACAGTGCAGAGAGCACCGAGTCTGAAGGCAAGAAGACTGACCTTCCCAAGTTCAAATCTGGCCTCAGACACTCACTAGCTATGTGATTCTGGGCAAGTCACTTCACCCTGCTTGCCTTAGTCTGCTCATATGTAAAATGGGCTGGAGAAGAAAGTGGCCAACCACTGCAGTACCTTTGCCAGAAAAAACCCAAGTAGGGTCACAAAGGGTCAGACGTGCCTGAAAAAGGACTAAAAAACAACAACAAATTCTTCCCTATTCATTAAAGCAGGTCCAAGAAATTGCTGGCTGCCAGACAGACCAAGCCCAGTTACAGAAGTATTTTAAAGTAACAAAGTTACATTTTTTTAACAAATTCAATAATTCTGATCAAGACAAAGGCCAGCCATCACCTCCCAATGCTAGGCATTGGACGCAAGATGCAGAATGAGACACATGTGGGGACGTGTGCAACACGCGAGTTTGTTTAACTTATTCATGGAGATTTGTTACAAAGGCTTTGTTTTCCTTTCTTTTTATTTTTTTCTGGTGGGGAAAGGGTGGGAGGGAGAGAAAATAAATGCTTGTTAATTTAAAAAATAAGATTTGAATTTAAAAAAAATATATTTAATAATTCCAAATTTTTGTTTTTTCAGATTGGCTTTCAACCAATTAAACCAAAATTACTGTTTCCCTGAAAAAACAAAAACAAGATGAAAACAAGAGTCTAGGGAGAAAGAAAACAAGATCTTCAGCCTGTCTGTGCACAGCATCCTATAGGAAGGTGGCCCAGGAATAAAAAACACAAATAAACAAGCCTGGTGGCAGGTAGGGGAGGGGTAATCCCCAAAGGCTTTCCGGTTCCCTCTCAATGACTGCTAAGTCTTGCAACTAACAGGAGACCAAGAGGATGAGGATGAGGATGAGGATGAGGATGAGGATGAGGATGAGGATGACAGCTCAGTTACCCACAGAGAACTCAAGCAAGCAGCGGGCTGGGGGCCACAGGATCTGGATTTTAATCCCCACTTTAACCTCGTGACCTTGGGCAAGAGCCTACATCATGTAACTAAAGAGACACTGTCTCTTCCATTAGAGTTAAAGCCCTCCAAGGCACTATTTTTGCTTTTTCTTTGTAACTCCAGCACTCAGCCTAGGCCCAGGCACACAGCAGTTGCTCAATAAATGCTCAGTGACTGACTGGCTTTCAGATTCCTCTGCTGTAAAATGGAAAGTAGGACGGTTAGACTAGAACACCTCCTGGGGTCCTCCCAGGCCTAAATCTTATGACTGATTTCCTCTGGAAAATGACCAAGGAGTGGATGAACCCCGATTTAAGTCAAATCTCCAGCTTGTTCAGTATCAGAGACGTCACTGTGCTTCCTGTCCCCTCGGGGTCTTCCGACCCTCATTTCCCACCAATCCCCTCCACGTGCCATGAGCACCAGCCAAAGACAAACACCACCCACCTATTTCACTTGTGTGGACTGGCTCTCATCACCCCTACGATGAGGCTGCTCTCCCCCTCTCTGTTCCTCCAGAAACTCTCCCCTTCTTTGGAGGTCCAGCCTGGTGGCATCTGCTCTGCCACGCTCTCCTGGCCCTCTCTGGGGGTGGAACTGTTCTCTGCCTTCCACACTCTCTTTTGTTTCTGACACTTTTCAAATGCCAGTTGGTACAAGGGTTTTCTCCCATAAGCGCCGACTGTAAGCACTTGGAGGGCAGGGCCTCTACCCTATTGGGTCCCTGTGTCCCCCAGCACCTAAAGCTCTGTATATTGAAGGTGCTTAATAAGCATTTGTCATACGAACAGTGACAAATACAATAATGTCAACTTGAATTATAAAAACTAGTGCTAGCCAAAAATTCAACCAATCCAAAGAGCTCTTTTGATCTTTCAGCTTCATGCTTTTC